AAATACATAAAAGCAAATTAAAGATATAGGCGGCCCGGTGATCCAGTGGTTAGCGCGTCTATCTCACAATGCAGAGGTCGTGGGTTCGATCTCCGGCCTTCCTGTGTGGAGTTTGCATGTTCTCCACGGGCCTGCGTGGGTTTTCTCCGGGTACTCCGGTTTCCTCCCACATTCCAAAAACAGGCATGGCGGGCTGATTGAACACTCTAAATTTTCCCTCGGGTGTGAGTGTGAGCGCGGATGGTTGTTCGTCACTGTGTGCCCTGCGATTGGCTGGGAACCGGTTCAGGGTGTCCCCCGCCTGCTGCCCGAAGACAGCTGGGATAGGCTCTAGCACCCCCCGCGACCCTTGTGAGGATAAAGTGGATCGGAAAATGAATGAACGAATGAATGAATATATCTCTATCTATTTATTTATTTATCTACATCTAGATCTACATCTATCTATCTATCTATCTATATATATATATGTGTGTGTGTGTGTGTGTGTGTGTGTGTGTGTGTGTGTGTGTGTGTGTGCGTGTGTGCGTGTGTGTGCCTATTTTCTGGCAGCAAGTGAATCAGAAGTGCTAACATTACTGTAAACTGGCTGCATTTCACTTGCAAGATTAACCTGTGTCATTGTCACCTGCTTTATCACCAGTCTAGTTTGTCTTTTGGGCCTTTGACAGAAATGCTGACATATCTGGGTTTGACTGTTTTCTTCCAATGACTGTATAAATAACTTGTTTCACCTCAATGTAATATGTTTACGTTCTACAATCTTTATTCATTTTCAGGTTCTTTTTCTGCCACATACTCAAGTCACGAGATCGCCTCATGAGGAATACACAGGCGTGTGGCGCGTACCAGAGGCACACTGGGTAATGCAACATAGCCATAGGAGTATGAGTCTGGCTGACACCAAACAAAACAATGAAAAAGCAGGCTGGCCTGATAAATGCAACTCTTTTTCAAAACTGTATTAGGACTACCTGAGTACGCCCTCGACGAGACGCTAGACAGTCTCAAGGGACAGGGAAATATGTACTTCAGTACACTATGAATAACTACTAGGAAATCTATTTTATACCTATTATTGGTATAATAACTCTAGGCTTTGTTTGAGCGTGATTGAAGAAGAGGCTCAGTTTATTTCTCACAAGTCACAACCGTGTTATTATCGTTAAATATATGAAGCTCAGCAATAGAGAGTGATGCCAAAATAAAGCTTTTCTACCCTGGACAGAGTGAAATCAATCCATCTGAAGTGGAAATTAGCCAGCCACAAGGAGAGCTTGAAGTGCAGGATTTGAGCGGCCGACTGCAGGTAGAGGGCAGGGAAATGAGATGGGTTGAAGTGTGAGAGTGTGCGGTTTCTAATCCAAAAACATGTTTCAGCTTGTTGAAAGTGCATTGTCAGCACCACGGCCTTCACTCAGCAAAGGCGCAATGTCCTTTTGCCCGTTCATCTCCTCCCCTGGCCCACAAAAGAAAATATTATTACACCGTTCGTTACAGATGGAACTCTTTCCCAAGAATGCAAAACTAATCTTTCTGTCCCTGGCACAATTCTATCAAGAATGAATGAACATGCTGTGCATTTTTGTGGAAAGAAACTCTCTAATAAGATGCAACATATCCTCTCCCAGGACACCCGGCAATGATAAACCGGGGATAAATGAGCCTTTCCACTTGCTTTGCGGGAGACAAATCAGATTTGTATCCTCTGTGTCATTTTGCACAGAAGTTATTATCGTTCCTTTGTGATGCATGCTTGCCTTCTAATCTAAGAAGATGAAAATGTGGTGCTTTCACGGGAAAAAGATATGCTATATTTTTGGACAAGTCTCTGTTGATAATATAAAATGCAACACAATTTCACGTACTCGATGCTTTCAAGCCACAGTCACGTCTTTCTTTGTACCAGCCAGCCCTCAGCTCGTCTGTGAGGAGATAGAAAAGAATTCCGATGTGATGGTAGATACGAGCAAACAAAGAGAGCGCTATCACCTGTGTTGACGCCACGAAGTCCAGAGTTGTTAACCGTATCTGACCTCCATCTCAACGAGATTAGAGAGTCGCATAGAAAAAAAATGAGGGGAGGAAAAAGTACAAATGGGAAATAGATCAAGCAAACCATCTGCGCCAGCTTCGCACAAAAAAAAAAAAAAAACCTTCCTTGGCAACACTGACTATGTCCCTTCTTTTGAGCAATTTTCCCATCTTCCCTCATCAGTATGATTGCATGATGAAGTGATCTACCGTATCGGCCCGAATATAAGATGGCCCTGATTATAAGACGACCCCTTCTTTTTCAAGACTCAAGTTTGAAAAAAGACTTTTTGAACACCAAATTAATTTATATACAGAAAATAATTACAGTGCATCTGAAACAAATGATTACAACAAGATATTTGAGAGAAAAAGCATGTTATTTTGCTTAATTCAAATCTTAATATCTAAACATTTAAATATGTAAACTAAAGTGCAATCACATTCATAAATGAATGGCTTCTGGTTTTTGAAATGTAAATGACATCATAACTTCTCCTCAGCTGCCGGTTAACCTGGCCGATCTTCGACCCACTTTTCTCCAGATTGTCGCTATGTTTCTCCATTTTCTGTTATCTCTTCTATTATTTTCTTCTCTTTTCTTTCTTACCACTATTTTTTATTTTTCTTCTTCGTGCTACCACTATTTTTATTTTTATTCTTCGTGACAGGGGTTCACTTTGGCCTGGGGAGTCAAGTTCAACATTCGCTTCAATGAAGTCTGGCGCCATCTAGCGTGGTGAATGGGTATAATGTCTAGACCCCGAATATAAGATGACCCCCACTTTTTCAGTCTTATTTCAATGCAAAAAAACACCGTCTTATATTCGGGCCAATATGGTATTTCAACATGATCATATGACATGCATCAGAAAAGTTCCAGGATTGGTGTCACAAGATACATTTCAAGTCCAAAGTAAAGACGGCAAGTTGTCCCATTCTTTTTCTTACTTTTCCAATCTTGAGTGCCACACCTTCATACACTCTCGGAAGGATTCTTCAGTGTTCCTTCACAGTTCCAAAGTCACAGCCATCTTGATGTCTTCTACGTCTGCAAAACGGGTAGCCTCGATGATCCCTTTGAGTTTAGGTAAGGGGGGTGGGGGGGGGGGGTCGGTTACTGACAGACTCAGGTTGGTGAGTAGGGAGGTTGCTCCAAGCATGGCAATGTTCTTCTCAGCCAGGAACTGCGGGATGCTCAGGGCATTGGCCAGGTTTAAATTTTGGGGGATTAAACCAAATCATTAAACTGCATGAAAATGCCTCAACTGGAATTCAATGTGGAATTGCAGCAGTGGTGTACTTGTCAATCCCAACAGATGTTGTGTATGCAGTTCAATTGACATAGCCAGTCTACATCCAATCTGCAAATGCTCTGTCCCGATGTAAATGCGCTGTTATTTATGCACCTGACAATGGCGGTTTCCACCCAGAGCTGGTCTTCGATGGGAGACCTTGTTTTTAAACGTATACTTGTAACTTCTTTTTATCATGCTGTTGCTTCAATAAAAGTATGAAAACAATCGCAATCTTCTTCTTCTTCTCCTTTCGGCACGTCCCTTTTCAGGGGTCGCCACAGCGAGTCATTAATTCCCATCAGTCCCTGCAAACCGCCCTATCAACTCGCATGTCCGTCTTGGCAAAAGTTTTACGCCGGATGCCCTTCCTGACGCAACCCTCCCCATTTCTCCGGGCTTGGGACCGGCACCGGGGAACAGTGTACCCCCAGGGGAGGGCACTGCTCCCCAGCGGCTGGGTTATGAAAACAATCGCAATGACTGTGCTAAATAGATGGTTGAACTCCATCTTGATAAATCATGTTTGTTTTTTTTACATTGATCTGAGTGTGTCATATGACTGTAAAATGCCTGTTCTGATTCACGTAATGGCACATATAAACAGCAAATCGAGGTACATCACGCCACACGCAAACAGTTGGCCGAAGATCTTAGAGTAGAGTCAAGTCACATTTATTTTTATGGCCCTTAATCACAAACAGTCTCAAAGGTCTTCACATGCCCACAGTTGACAAGTATTCACAACATCCCCTGAACTTAACCCCCAGGAGGGCAAGGAAAGACTCCAAAAACCCCATCTGGGGAAAAATGAGAAACCTTGAGAAGGGGCCGCAGATGGAAGAATCCCCCTTCCAGGATGACCAGGCTTCAATGGATGCCGAGCGGGCAACATTTTGGCACAACTTTGGTGTACAATGTTAGTTAGAATGATATAAAAGTCCATTGAAGAAGATGAAAACGCTGCGGAGTGATGGCTTCGGAGAGCTGGGTCCCTCTCCGAATCCGTCCCGGTTGGTCAAGGAAAAAAATCTTCATAGCAGCACCTCCGAAGTCAATAAATCAGAATGATTTCAATCAGACTGACAAAAAAGTCGGTGCATTGTCAAGGAGAAGTAGTCATAATTTGCCCAACCAAAACTCTCACTTGCTTTTGGCGCACTGTAAAAAGGAAACATGCCACAGGATCTTTTTGTAGACTTGTTGGTCGATTGTCTTGCCTACACTGAAAGGGAAAATTCAAGGTTTGTAGTTCGGGGTTGAAACACATCTTTTCTGACACACCGCTGATGTTGACTTTGTGCTGTAAATAAATCTCCCAGCTTTTATTCAAACAGCGCTCTGTGAGCTCGAGACTATTTTGGATGTGTTACTGTCCATTGTTTTGAGTATTCTCCTCGACCGTAACAGTCTTGAAATTCTTAATTACTTATGTTCTTTTCCTTGAAAAAAAGTACGTACTTAAATTTTAGTTGCACGTGATTAAAATGTCATGAATTGATGTCATTTTCCTCTCTTTTCCTCAAAAATAATCAAAAGATAGATGTGAGTTTAACATTTTGTAACCGATGTACACTACGTATGCGAATTAAATAAATGCCAACAATTTTTTTTCCAGTATAGTTTTTCAATGGTTGATCATTTCTTTGTAGTCAGATTCAGACTGGGAAGCTTTATTGAAATGTTTTATTTCCAAGTAAAGGCAAGGATGGAAGAACCAAACACAACCCTAATAAGCCCAAACCATTCAAGACGCGTCTTGTTCACTTTTGTTTGGTGGATGAATACTTACAGACAGGTAAGTGTAAATGAACTTGCTGTGATATAAATGATCAACGCTGATGATCGTAAACATGTAGTAAACAGCTGACCGTGCTAAAATATATATTTATTGTAATAATTTGGATACTATTTAAAGTACAGCAAAACCGATTTTCATGTACCGTACTGTAATTGTGTTGCAGAAGTTGTCGTGTGTTAATGAGCAACTCATCTATGAGCTTCTCTTTTTTTCATGACATTTTGCAGAGGGGTGTGTTTTGGACCAACGAAAACATGACATTTTGGAACAGTGGTTTTTGATACGCATGCATTTTTTTTTTCCAACCTTAGTGGAGGTCTGCACCCTGCTGAGTCCCATTTTAATTGAAACCAGCTCCTGTCAGTGGAACATAACTAACTATTTAGAGTTCACGTGTCAAAGTGATCTCTGCACATAAACAAAGCCAAGTATTTTCCGTTGGCTTGTCAGGCCCTGAGCAGAGCTTCCACTGAGAAAGGTAGTAGCGGCTTCATGGCTGGAGTCCTGCCTGAGCTGCCGGGAAGGCTCTTGACTGAGTCTTCCTGAGGATGCGCCAGGGCGGCAGGAGTGTCGGCACACTGACCTCTACTTGTCCGTGCTAACGGATCAAAGGTCCTGCTGGGGGCTGTGACATTCGGCAAGTTCAGGATCCCCTGATCTGATACAAAAATAGAGCATGTGACATTTGAGTCTTGAATTTCTCTTGGTTTGGAGTCAGCTTTGATGTGGTCCCAACCCAACAAAGTACTACCGTGATATTTGAGGCTTTGTCGAGAAGGCAAAGGTGTGAGCTCTGATGTCTCTGTCTTCTCGCAACCTGTCCAGCCACGCTGCACCTCATCCTTCTGATCTCTATTTTGCACTGAGCTTTTGCACACGCGGAAGCCAACATTTTCACTTTTTGTACATGTGCTCTTAAAATGAAAACAGTGATAGAAATGGAAGTCCCAGTCTTGCAGAGGCAGAAAGCTGTTACACACAGACCCAAAGGTGGCTGTCCCCGCAGATGAAGGGACTTTGCTGAATGACTGTAAGCTTGGCGTGATGGGCAGAGGCACTGGATGAATTGCGGGGAGGAAGGTTGAATAGGAAAAGGAAAGGTCGTTCTGGAACTCTCTCTGTCTGAGCTCCCGCTCCAGCATCACGTTCTCCAGCTCCGTGTCAGCAAATGTTCTTCTCTTCCTCATGCGGGCACTGATGGTGGGGTTTGTAGCATGTGTATGGTCACGCTGTGTCGGCTTTAAACAACAGGAATCGTTGCCCTCCAGTGGTGTCAACCCTGCAGTTTCCACAGACAACACTTTAAGTTTATATTTGTATTCATTTAGGTCAATTATAAATAACGAAGTTGTTTTAAGTAATTGCACATTTACAAAGATAATTCATGCTCGATAAAATTGAGTTTAATTGCTGTTTGGTAGTCCTTACTTTATTTTAGTCACCCTGGCAACAGATATATCCTCCATTTAAACTCACTGACAAATGAAAGAGAGAGGTGAATTTGATGCAACTTTACCCGGCTGGAGGCGCTTGGTCTGCCACATACTTGGCTCCACCACCGCAGTAGAGCGCTGCAAAAATGTTCTCTGTGAATGATTTGCTCGATACTTGACACCTCGCTTCCCCTGAAAGACACGAGGCAACGAGAGTTAGACATACAGAATAATGTGAGAGAATAAATCACTGCTGAGATGACGAGCTGTGCATGTGCTCGCTGTGCAAACTATATCAGTGGTGTCAGGAAGAATGCTCGCGCCTCCATAAATCATCACTTTTCAGGAAACCAAATAATGGCACGTCTGTTGAGCCATTAATATTGCACCTTCAAAGAGAGCAAACACTATATTGGAAACATCAGATTAATATTGATTTGTGAAAATATATTAAAATGACTGACTTTAGGCTTCGGACCAACTCCAGCGATATGTTGAAATGCAAAACAAAACATGTTTGTAGCTATACATTGCATACCCGTTTTGAATGTCATTTATTTTTTTGCCTCATTCTGCGAGTTGAATTTTAAGTAAGTGATGATTTATTTTTTTTCAGTGCTTTATTTTATTGTACAGTGTCCCTTTATTTGTTGGTGTCTCCTGAATGCAGAATAAATCATTGAATTTTTTTAAGTTCCCCCCTGTTGTGCATGCATCTATACTTCCCAACACGAAATCATAACAATAGCAGACTCTTTCCCCAACTAAAAATTACAAACATTTTTTTCTCATGTTACTGTTAGTGTCCAATAAAATTAATTACAGGTAGTTTATTATTACTATTAATCACGCTATTTTACACAGTAAATGTATGTTGTTCTCGGACATATAACAATGAATAGTTATGATTATCTCATTTTCAACAAACGATATTTACTACAGATTACTGTAAATTTAGAAACAAAACAAATCTGATTTTAAGTTGACAATATTGCTATTTTTTGGATTGTCCGAGAGATTACATTTTGTGATAAATGGTCTTCCACTTGTATTGCACTTTTCTACCTTCAAGCTAGTCAAAGCACTAAAAATAAAAATCGTCTTGCCATTCACCTAGTGATAACGCAGCATAGACATGATCACCGAGACTTAGGATCGAACAAACAATTTTCGGGTTGGTAGACAATTTGACGTGAGCACTGTGAACGCAGACAGAACTGCATTGCATCCGTACGACGACGTGTTTATCAAGGCAACCAAAATATTACAGTGAGATGCAAGGCATGCCATTCCTAATCCAATCAACAATAACACGCACACGTTAAATCACGGGAAAGTTGTTTTGGTTGTCGTTAGATTGTGCAGTTAACATTGCCGTTGAGTTTTGTGTGATGGTGACAGCTCGGATAGGCTTCAGCACGACCGCGAGCCAAGTGAGGTAAGCAGTTCGGAAAATGGATGGATGTACACAATAACAAAATAATAAAAAATTTGGCCTGTTCTTGTGGCACAACGTTGTTTGAGAAAACACTTGCCTTGGAAAGTGAGTGAGTCCCTTTTCGATTCATATTCGTGGCATTCCTAACAGTAGTAATATGGTTCAATGTGTAAGTTGAGGGGTTCGTTGTGTTTTGAATAGATGGCTCTACTTTACGAAACGGCAAAAGGAGAGATGGATTCAGTTTGAACGCAGCTTTGTTGAAAAGGACGTCTGCACCGCAGTACGAACCAGAACACACACTTCTCGGCAACTAAAACACTTCCTGTTTTCCCATTGTTCAGCCAATCAGAAGCTATCAACATAAACTCATGTCTAAGCAACTATTAAACAACAGAATATAATTTAGGAATTCTTAATATGAAACAATATGATGCGCAAACATAAAATTATAATAATTAACCAAACAACATAAGCTTATTAAATGTTTGACTGAGCTTCCACATCCACAGCGGTGCGCGCGCCCCCTCACCTCAGCAGCCTGTTGCCTCCTCAGTGCGACCTGCGCGGCCATGACTCGCTGCCGCTGCACCACCAGCAGGCAGCAGGCACAGCCGCAGTCCCTCCAGCGGCACAAGCGTTTGTGACCTTTCAAGCACGAAACCACGCCATGATTCCGGCAGCGGGCACATTTGGGACTTCGGCTCATTTTAAGCGGCTTCTCCTGCAGCAACAATTTAGTCTCTCCGCCGTCCCCGCAGGTCCGCGCTGGGCCGTCGTTCACACCCAAGCATTCATCAGGACTTGTCAAGACAACAAACTCTTCATGTTTTAAGGTATCAAGTTTTTTTGTTGTTTCCAGGTGCCGGCTTCCTTCCAAGTGGGTGGGCATAACCATACCTCATCTAGAAGCTGAATTGATCCTACAACGCCGCTGAGATGCACTACTTACATTAAACAAAACCCATTTATGTAGAGTACATATTAAATTATAAATGCATGTAATGTCGGTAAATTACTTTTTAGTCGTTTATGGATGACAACCGAAACTATCCGCATACGCTCCACCCGATACGAACCAATAAGATTCTTGTTTGCGTGAAATTTAACACAATAATTGATTCAGGGGTGAAAAACGGCTTAACCTGAAAAAAGTCCCCTTGACTCAGTTGACAGACGTACAATGTAGTGGTCCTTCTACGCGAACTCCTACTCAACACTGAGGTGTTGTCTGATCCAGCCTGCAACTGTTTTAAGGTGGAAACTTTGCAGCCTACCGCCAGACGTCTGAAATATTAAGCCCCCCTCAGCTGCTATCTGACGCGCCTTCTAAAAACAAGAGAGCCAGAAATGCTTCCAAGTCCTTGCGCAGCGTCCACGAGCAAACATGGGAAAGCCCACCTGCAATTAAGTCACTTTCTCTCTTTAATCTCCTTACCGGCCCTGCCTTAAAGTACCCAGCCCACCCGGGAAGTTGCCTCAACTTGCAAAGATCGAAGACAAGGCACACCAAAGTGTAAAGAAAAAAAAAAAAATTCACATTAGCTACGGTCCAGTGCCTATGACATATAACTTTGCTCGGCCTGTTCAGGTGGTTAGATGGGATGATGCCTGATGTTACGAATATTCACATTGACATTCTGGATTTTTTAAAATTAATATTTATGTGCCGCTACTAGATAGATAGATCGATAGATAGATAGATAGATAGATAGATAGATAGATAGATAGATAGATAGATAGATAGATAGATAGATAGATAGATAGATAGATAGATAGATAGCAGATAGATAGATAGACAGAGTCCTTGGTGCAACCGTGTGCACATATTCTAATTAAGTAGTAACATACTTCATTGTTCTTACCAGTTCCATGACACCTGTCAGCATTTGGGGAGGGACTAATGTAATTTCATGACATAAAACTGATCATTGATCATTTTTCTCAATGGCACACAGGGTAATTTGTTGAATATCAGCAAAACACCTCTGTACGCAAACACATCATTTTCCTTCATGAGCTAAATATAGGGCAAAAAACGTGGGAACCTGCCAAAGCAACCTTTGGCCAATACATGGCTGAAAAAGTACTTTTTCACAATGCAAAGATGGCAAGTATGGTATTTTGACTTGAGCAACAATTCTAGGTGGAAGATCACAATGTGTGCTAATTTGGTGAAGTGCAGTTGCAGTGCAATGCTCTTAAGATATTTTTTTTTTAATCCAGAAAATGATTTAAAATGCATTGGTTTCTAAAAGTATATCGTGTGTAAACGTTTTGATTTATCGGTTATTCTATTTATTTAAATTGATAAAACGCTTATGTGTACTGATCTGTTTGTCAATGTTGAAAAATGAGTAGATCCTTTCCGTTAGGTTTGGAGAAGGGGCCCTATAGTTGATGGTCTCCCCCCCACGCCCCCGAGCCCCCGAGGCATAGGTAAGGGCGGCCCTGCATCAGAGGGAGCACATAACTCAAACTCTGGTGTCCCTTTACTGGCTTCCTGTACATTTTAGAGTTCTTTTTATGATTTTATGATTTGTTTTCAATTCTTTAAATGGCCCCACCCCACCTTACCTCTCTAGGCTCCTTCACACTTAGACACACTTGCCGGATGCCTTAGGTTCGTGCACCAGATGCTCTTCGGTGTTGAGGACTAAGTGAAGGTTCAGAGGGGATCGAGCCTTTTTCGTTGCTGGTCCCTGTCTTTGGAATGACTTCCCGCAAAACATTAGGCAAAGTCCCTCACTGCCCATCTTTAAAACTTGTCTAAAAAGGCATTGTTATTCTTTGGTTTTTGACTCAGCATGAGACTTAATTTAGGTTTTACTGTTTTTGTGCTTTTTACTGTCATCATTATGAATGTATTGATTTAACAGTCTTTCTTCTTGTATGACTTATTTTTGCTCTATGTACAGCACTGGTTGTTTCAAAGTGCTCTATAAATACAGTTGAGTTGAGTTGTGTAATTATTTCACTGCCAATGACTATAATCATAGGCGACCAGGTCTACTACACTTATCCGCATTTGGGCACGGGCTAATGTCATTTTACCCTGTGTGATTATTTTACTGCCCGTGACTATAATCATGTGCACGCAGTCACAAGAAAGCATTATTTTGACGTGCCATTGAAGTGGTGAGGCCCTTAGTAATATTTTTTTCCATGAGGCCCCAAAACAGCAGGCAGCAGCCATTCCTTTTTAAAACCATGTATATTATGTATCAAGTGAATATAAAGTTTGTAGCTCTAATTATCACCTGTATGTGCAGCTTAATTTCGTGATAATAATGAATGTGTTTGACGTATGGAGCACGACTGGAACATGCGATTCCAGATAGTGTGAAAAGTGCGCTTCCTACTGATCAACATGGGTTACTACATTCAGGTTATTTCTCAACTGACTTTTCAGGTACACTACTGGTAAGTGCAATTACTGTAATTCCATTACAGAATCAAGTTTGAACCAACATAAATTACAGAAAAGTGCTTGTCCCAACTCTAAGAGCGGATTCATGGGTTTAGTTCCGTGACAAACTCAACTTGGTTTCCCTACATATATGTATAGGGAGATTAAAAAGTTAAAAACTTTTTAAGAGGCTTATATTTTAATTTTACTCAAATTTTTGCTGCATTTTTAATCTATGAAAATATAATGATATGATAATTTTGTGAGTTTTAATGTGATATTGACAGTTACTTGCGCATGGCAGGATGTTGTAGATTTTATCCTTCTGCAAAATGGGGCCCTTCCATACTTATTCATGAATGGATGAATGCTGGTTGTGAATTCTGGGGCTCACATGAAATTCAAAATAAATGTAATGCATTTAAAACTAATGCTAAATACAACATTTTCAATATTCATTATTTATAAAAATGCTATAATTAAAAAGCATAAAAAAGAGAGAACTTACACTAAATAATAATTTTTTGAATAGGGAGTTTTACTTTTCTATCAGACAGAGATGGCTTGGTTTCTTTAGAGCAGCGGTCGGCAACCTTTGACACCGAAAGAGCCATTTGAACCCGGTTTCCACGGAAAAGAAAACACTGGGAGCCGCACATCTAAAATGAAAAAAAAAAAACTTCTACTACTTTACCACAGCATGTTTCTTATGAAATCCACGTGCTACAGAGAAAATTACATTTTATTCATTTAATGAACACATTTTGAACATTTTGAATTCTTGAAAAATAATAACAATGAATGTCTCTTTCAAATAAATTAAAAAGCTGAATTTAAATTGTCCATGTAGCAAACGAAAGCAGAAAAATGCCATGAGGCGTCATCCTTATATCCATTTATCTTATCTAAAATGAAGATAACACTGTATATATTGCTTTTTCTTACCTTTACACTTTGTATAAACAACTATAGTGTGGTTATGTCTTATGAAGTGCTACGGAGAAAATTAAATTTTACCGATGTAATGAACACATTTTCCTGAGCGGCCACAAAGCTTGCATATGTAGTTGAATTTGCAGACTTCACCCACTTCTTGAATTGATTTTTCGTCCGGTCAGCCTTCTGCATCAGTTCCGAAACAGCTTTTTCCCTCTCTTCTCCCTCTGGATATTTTTCAGCAAAGGCTCTGTGTGTATTGTTAAAATGTCTTGCGACATTTGACCGTTTATTGTTAGCCAGTTTTTCTCCACAAATTAGGCATACTAAGAATGGCTAGTGTGTTCGGAAAACAAACATTTGTACATGTCATGAACAATGAATGTGACGTCTATTTTGAGCGACGAAAAAATAATATCAAATAATTTAATTAATATTTTAATATTTCAAGATCACAATAATCTTCAAATTTAGAACTAAAATAATATAAAAACTAACACAAATAAAACACACTTCAATTAAATACAAAAAAAACATTTTTAGTAATTTATTTTCCCAAGCCAATCAGAGCCGCATTATAAGGATGAAAGAGCCGCATGAGGCTCCGGAGCCGCGGGATGCCGACTGATGCTTTAGAGTCTGATCAATATGAAATTCATAAATTTTCTAATCCATTTATACTCACAAAGGTCGCGAGGCGCGCTGGAGCCAATCCCAGCAGTCTTCGGCAGCAGGCGGGGGACAATCTGAACTGGTTGCCAGACAAACGCAGGGCACACATCGATGAACAACCGTTCGCGCTCACAGTCACAGAAATGGATCATTTGGAGTGTTCCATTAACGTGCCATGTATTTTTCTGGAATGTGGGAGGAAACCCACCCAGGCACAGGGAGAACATGCAAAGACATACAAGAAGACCGGAGCTGGGAATCTAACACTGCACCTGTGCACTGTGAGGTGGACGTGCTAACCAGTCGCCCACTGTTCCGGCTTATGAAATTCATATTGATTTACTGTGTGTTTGGCTTGATTCCCCATCAAATTGAGGCCCATCGTGTGAAGTTAACGATAGTACACTTTCAAGTCTAGAGGTCTTAGAGCAGGGGTCCCCAACCTTTTTTGCCCCACGGACCGGTTTAAGTCAGACATTATTTTCAGGGACCGGCATTTAAGGTGTGGCGGAATTAATACAACAAAATAATATGGTATGAGCTGCATGAAAACTGTGGTGTTTTCGAAATATAATAATAAACACAAGGAACGTCTAATCTGGTCGCAACACTCTTATCGCTCTGGTAATGTTTAATGCCTTCAAAATACGATACAACGCAAATTCAAAGTGCATGAAAATGACGACTCACCACAGCACCGAGCTTGATTTTCTGCAATCAGACAGTCCCATCTCGGGGTAATAGGAGACAATGACACCTCAAGTGTGTGGTTTATGTCCAGTCTACTTCGTAATTTTGTTTTAGTCGCTGCTGCTGCAGAAACTCCCCACCTCACACAGGTAGGATGTCGGAAATAGCAAAAGTGCTATTGTGGCGATCTCAGAGTATTCAGCCATAACTTTGATCCAGTAGTTTAGAACGTACTTTTAAGGCCGCCATCATTTGCGATCTCCAAGCAGCTTTTTTACTCATTTTGCGGGCTTCAGCATTATGGTTTTGAGCGTCGTCGGTCACGTGCCCGAGAAGTGTAGCTTGACGTGAGTCAAGCGTGACACAGACGGATGTAA